ACAGGTGATCATGTATTGTGTTACATTATATTTCTGGAAAATTTAAGGGGTAGTTATATAATAATTTTGGACAATCTCGGGTGGTCAGATACTTATGACCGCTACTGTAAGTTTATTTTTAAGAGTATATTGGACAGTTCGAGTTGATACGTTAAGTTCTGAATATATAAAATTCAGCTTTTTTATCATTAAAGCTGGAGTTATTACATTATTAACTTAGAGAAGATGACTAAGATATCGATATTTATTAGGGATGAGAAGAAGAGGATAACTAGGACAAGGCAAATATTTAACATTTTCTGTTTCTTTTAAATGGTTAACAATATCATATACTGTAGACTTTGGATATTCAGTTATTTTAATTATTTTGGTGGGCTTTCATATATTATTAAACTATAATTCTTTTATAGTTAGCTGTCTTGTCTCAAACACTAAAGTGAGCATCATTTATTATAAGTTGTGATTGATAAACAGTTACATAAAAAATTTGGCATTTATATTTACGTCTAAAAATAGCTAATAAATTGCTATTTTAAATTTATTTACGTTAAACAGAAATTGGTGTAATAGTACTTTTTTTGTATACTTTATAAAAACTCCAGAAATTTATGTCGTGAATTTTAGTTACAAATATAAGAATGCATAAGTTAATTAGTAAGTTAAACTACTAAATTCTAATAATCGTTACTAAAAAAGTTAAATCAATCGATTAATAATTATCAATAGTCTATTATATTACTAAAAAATCCAATTGAATATTACTTTATCAAATTAATACCATATTCGTTTATTTATTTAAATGACAACCTCTTTTTACATTTTCTTTAAAATACTAAAACTCAAAATTTTTCATATTTTCTTTATAACATAAAAATAAAAGAATTTAAAGTTTTTTATTTCTTATAATGTACCTAAATTCAAACACAGAAACAAAATACTATTATTCCTGTTGTCAAAAATGATTTGGATGGTCTTTCAGGTACTAACTTATATCATAAAAAATATATGGCTATTACTATAAAATATATCTGATTTTATGAAGAAATTACTTTCTTTAGCTCTAAATGAAGATCAAGAACTGGAAATTATTTCAAACAAAAAAGCTTCTACTAAAAGAGATTGAAAGAAAAAAATTGTTAATGAAAGTAATCATGATCTAACTCCAGCTTCAAAGACTACTACTAAAAGTCAAAAAAAAAATACTGTCGCTAATCTAAAGGAGCCCATTAATGTGCCTGATAACAATCAACTAGATGTACCAGCTCTGGAGGCTAGTGTTAAATGTAAAAATATAATAGCTCTAAAGGTTATTGCTAAACGTAAATAAAATGAACTAACTCAAGAGTTAGCTGATATTGATGAAGTAGATGAAGACATTGATATTCAAGATCCATCTAAATCAAATTTGATTGATGAATTTCTAGAATCAAGCGACAATGATAATCTTTCAGAAGGTACTAAATTTTCACTTTAAAATCATATTTTGATGTATCTTGATAAATTTTATTCTTATTGTTATTTTTTTTGATTCTTTAATTCTTTAAACAGAAGTCAATTTAGTAGTAAATGTGTTGAAAATGTCAGATGTAAACCCTTTGTGCCAATTACAAACAATAATAATAAGATTGATAACAGCATATCAGATAAGACAACTGGATCTTACATCAGAATGGATAGTTCAAATGATACATTCAGATCATATTCTTGGTTGTGTTTGAATAATACTACACCTCATCCTACACCTCGATTTAACAATGCATATACAAGATCTGATAATACACTATGAATTAACAATATACATAATTATATGCTTCGATATAACAATGCATATACAAGACTTGATGACTATTTCATTCGAATGCTCATTTCATATTTTGATTTAATATAAGATTTAATGATGACAATACATTTCATTCAAATACAATCAATATGCTTCATCAAACATTAGAATCTAATTAATTTTTAGCAGCATTTAGAAATATGGAAATGTTTACAAAATATGCTGGTGGTTATGTGAAAATCTAAACATCTTATTATTTGCATATCATATGTATTTATTGATACAAACACTAATTACAGATGCATTTGACTTTACTTTGAATTCTAATTTATTAACTTCAAGATTATCAACTGGAGTAAACCAAATATCGAAGACAATGAGCTAGGATTTTCTTGAAGAATTAAAATGTTTGTTTCTTCAGGTTTGAAATCCTGATAAGTATGCTATTGAAGAATTATTCTGGCAAATCTTTAATTATGAAATCAACTTAGATGAAGAAACGAAATGGTTACATATAGCAACTATAAAATTTAATAACTTTTGAAATAAATTACTTGATTTATTCAAGAATCGATCAATACATTTAAAGAAAAAAAGAATCAGTAAGCAGTTTGTTCATTTGTTTTGTTTTAATTGTACTGGATATTTTTTACTAATTTATTTCTTTTATTTACAGCGAAAATACAAATGTAACTGATCAAAATCTAAAAAATTGGACATGCAAAAAATTGGCCTAAATTCAGCCTAAATTCAGCAAATTATCAAAAAATCGGCCTAGCCAATTAGCATACACTAGAAATCAGCCAAAAATCAGCTGAAATTTAACCTATCTTATTATAGCCGATTGGCATACTTATTGCTGATTGGCATACATTAAAAATCGGCTAAAATTTGATCCATTTTATTTATAGCTGATTGACGTCTAATTTACATCCAATTGATATACATCAAAAATTGGCTAAAATTCGATTTATTTTATTTATAGCTGATTGATGTCTGATTTACATCTGATTGATATATATCAAAAATTGGCTAAAATTCAATCTATTTTATTTATAGCTGATTGATGTCTAATTTATATCTAATTGATATATATCAAAAATTGGCTAAAATTCAACCTATTTTATTTATAACTGATTGGCATACTTATTACCGATTGGCATACGTCAAAAATCAGCTAAAATTTGACATATTTTATTTATAGCCGATTGATGTCTGATTTACATCTGATTGATATACATCAAAAATAAACTAATATATTTTAAAATAAAATAAAATTCGGGAGAAAATATAACTGATATTTAGGATTAATAGCCAAATAATGTTAAAAACATTCAATTTATTTTTATAAATGGTATTTTCTATTAATTGGATTAACAGCCAAATATTCTTTTGCATTTCACCGAGCTGAAATTTGATAGATAATCAGTACAAATCGACCCAAAATATGATAAACTGGTATTATATAATCACAACTTTTTAGATAAAATTCGGTATCCTATAATTCAATATTACATGTTTCTTCTTCACTAAAATAATATCGCATATTTGAAGAACTTGCAGGTTTATATGGTCTTGAAGCGTAACTGTTACTGGTAAGAGGCGCACGTATCATGCTGACAGCAAACCTATGTACAGAAGCCAGATTAGTCAATGATTCAATGGGAACTATCCAAGATCTTTTATTCAAAGAAGATCAAGAACCGCCTTCTCTCCCTATAGTAGTTCTTATATCTTTTAATAATTATACAGGTCTCACCATTTCTAACTTAGAAGGGGAAAGAGTTATTCCAATTGCGCCAATTCGACATACCTGGGAGAGTAAATCTGGAGTAACATATTTACGCCTATAAATTCTCGTTCACTTTACATGGGCCATTACAGTGCACAAAAGTCAAGGGCTCACATTAAAAAAAGCTATAGTAGATTTCAGAGATAGAGAATTTACAGCTGGTCTTACATTTGTAGCAGTGTCTCGAGTCTGCACCCTTGAAGATCTTCTTCTCAAACTGTTCAGCTTTGAAAGGCTTCAGCGGATTAAAGTCTGCAAAAGGTTGCAAGAGGAAAAAGACGAAGAAAAATGGCTGATTTCCCTGATAAGAAATTGAGGACTTAGAGTGCATATAAAGTTAGATCAAGGTATACAATTACAACAAAGCATACATTATACTTCAAATAAAACGGATAAAATTTTTTTTTTTTTTTATTAAAGTTCATACAATACGTGAAAATTTGACTTTTTTAATTTTTGTGTTATTTTTTAATTTTTGCATGACAAAATAAATTCTTGTCAAACGTAAACTATTTTGTTATTGTTATTTATTATTTATTTACACAAAATGTTGTGACATAACGTAGCGTAACAAATGGAAATATTCACGTAACCTTATCAGTCACATACCTTCGTAAATATATATAGTCCTACGCTTCGCTCTGAACAATTAAAACCTTTAGTAATTAGTAAATATGAAAGATCACGTTGTTTTAAAAATATAAAAATCTAAAATATGCCTATAATATACCGAAATAATACCAAAGCTTAGATGATTACATCACTTTTTCAAGAATAGACTCAGGAATTTGATCACTAAGTTAATCTAAAGTATTGAGATCAACGTGTATTACTCCTTATCGATAACTGTTCCAATTACAAATAGATGGCCTTACTTTACAATACACTGATATTCATTTTTTACCACTAAATATAACCTCAAAAATCCAGCCAATAGATATTGGAATAATCATGACTTTTAAAAGAAATTATTGCTATTTCTATATATAGTAAGTTTTAATATAAAATTTGTGTACCTTTTATGTAATTAAAATTAATAATTAATTTTTTTAAAGTTTAATGTTACAATATGTAAAAGCAGGTAAACATGTAGAAGACTTATGCATAGATGTCTTACAAGCAGTTCATTTTATTATTAAAGTATGGGATGAAGTTAAAGTTAAAATAATTTGTAATTATTGGCACTATGTAAAAATTCTTTCCTCTAGTATCAATAAAGAAATAGATGTGAGAAATACATTAGAAGATATCCATCGATCTGAAGACTCAGTGCTTAATGATCTTGCAGATAATATTTAGGCTCTTGATCTTTTCCATCCAATGCAGTTAAAAGAATTCCTTAATATTCCCGAAAAGGATGTTATTTTCAAAGTTCTTAAAGATGATTAAGTTATTGAAGAACTTACTTATTTTTTTAAAAATACTGATGAGGAAAATATGGATTTAGAAAAAAAAGATGACAGTTGTGAAAGTTTTGTTATTAGTACTAGCATTGCCATTGCCAATTTGGATACTGTACATATGTTTCTACTCCAACAGGATAATGCAAAAGAATATTTAAAGTTAATAGGAAAACTTGAAAAGTTTTTTAAAATCAAAAAAACAAACACAATACAACAAACAAATATTAATACATATTTTAGTAATCCTTAGCTTATAATTATACTGTATAATGTTTAATTTGAAATATATCAGAGAAAAATATTCAAATTTTAATAAAATCAACAAAAAATTTAAGGTTGCGATAATTGTATAACATTATATGCTATTTTATTAGCTGTTCTATAAATGCATACTCTCCTTAAGTGCATAAAAATAATCAATTCTAAAAGCGTGTATTTATAGAGGATTTATTGTAGTTCATTATATAAATTTTTTGTAATTAGAGGTCCTGGTATAATACTAAGAAATAAAAAAATTTTAAAATATAAAAATTTAAACTTTTAAAATTCTTTTATTATATTTAATGATCATTGTAATATATATCAATATAATAATATTTATTTTGATATAAACTATTTAATTATATTATTAAACTAATTATAATTATGATTATCTTTATTTTATTTATTATTATCATTATTGTTATTATTAATTTTAACATTTCTCTTATTTACAGTATATAATTATTTTTTAATATATATTTTATTATTATTATACATTTCTTCATTTACTTCAATAATTTTATCATTATCATCTATTAGATCTGATAATTAATTATAATTAAATATATAATAATCTTCTGAACTATCAGTTTTTATTGAAATTTCATAATATTTAAATGATCTATAAGTAAGATCGTTATCAATTTTATTTTATAATTCCTTAATCTAAGTTACAACTATTAAATAAGAAGATTTTTTAATTTTCTAATATGAATAAGATTATGAGTTGTAAATGATATTTATCTATTATTTTTTTTTTTAGTATTCTAATATAAATATAAGCTTAGCTATTTTATCAATAGAAGTAATAAATTGAATCCTAAATTATAATAATTTTGTCTGCTTATCGTTCTCAAATTTATTTTAACTATTTTAAGTATATTCATTATTAACCTAATAGGTATTATACTAGAGTAAAATTTCAACTGAAAATTTTTATAAATTAATAGATAATACTATAATATTATTAGGTATTCAGCTGTATTACTGGATAGAAGAATCAAGCAAAGTACTCTATTTTAGATTCAAGAAATAATCAAACTTACTATATCATCAAATAACTTAAAAATTGAATTCAACTTCTCTCTCTA